CAATTACCTAAGGACAAAGTTCAGAAGGATTGGGAAGAAGAGTGGAATGGAAACAGAACCACAGGAAGGAAGCGGGATAACTGTTGTTGCATGGAATGGATTACAATCATTGAGATGAAACAAAGTGTATGATTGGTTGAATGTAAAACTGATGAGATGTGCTCCTGGTGTGAGGCTGTAGGATAATACACTGGACTGCAAAGTCAGTTTGAACTGTAAGGTTAGTGGTTCAAGTTCACCAGCCACTCCTTGGAAACCCTACACTGGGTCACCATGAGTCAGAAGCGACTCGACGGCACTGAATAACAACAACCTTTCACTCAATTCACAAAAAACAGTTTCAAAAAACAAAAACTAGTCAAATTTGATTTTTATAAAATACTATATGGTATTTTCAAGACACAAGGATCCCTAGTAGCGTAGTGAGCTGGGTTACTAACCACAAGGTTAGTAGTTCGAATCTACTAGTTGCTTCTTGGGAGAAAGATGGAGGTTTTTTGCTCCTGTAAAGATTTTGTTTTGTTTTGTTTTTGTTTTTTTGATTTATTTGGTTTTTGGTTCCTATAAATATTTACAGCTTCAGAAGCCCTACACACGGTCATTTTAAGTCAGAAGAAACTCAGAGGCATACACCCACCACCATTTATGTGACAAAATCTAAAACGTTGCGTTATGTGCTGTCAACTCATTTCTGATTCATAGTGACCCTGTATAGAGCATCCGAGAATTTGTTGGTCCTACAACACCACACTATAAAGAAATTGTTATGAACTGAATTACATCCCTCAGAAATTTGTGTTGAAATCCTAACCTTGAGACCTGTCAATGTACTCCCGGTATGGCACTGTAGGATCAGCGCTGGACTGCAAACCACAAGATCGGCAGTTCAAACCTACCAGCTGCTCCTTGGAAACCCTGTACAGTGTCACTATGAGTGTGAATCAACTAGACTGCACTTAACAACAACAACAACAAACCTGTGGATGTAATCACATTTGGAAATAGAGTTTTCTTTGTTAGACTATTGAGGCCATATCAATGTAGGATGTGTCTTAAACCTAGGAACCTTTCTTTTTTTTTTTTAAATAAATAATCTTTGATGTATTTTTTAAAGTAGATCAGACACACAGAGAAGCAAGCACAAATGGGGTAAAGAAAGATGCCACATGGCAATCTCCAAGGACTGAGAATCTTGGGGTTACAGATTCCCCAACAGCCAACAAAGAGCCTTCTTCGAGGACCACCGTTCAAAAGTCAAACCACCAGCCTCCTGAACTGGGAGAAAACAAATTGATTTTCTTCAGCAACATCACCCACATGCAGTATTTGTTACAGAAGCGCTAGCAAACTGAGACAGAGATGATGGAAAGAAAAGAATTTTTAAAAAGATATACAATGCACATATTAACCGAAAGACGGTTGGGATGATTACATTAAGGATGGATAAAACAAAACTTCAGGTAAAATACATTATTAGAGATAAAAGTCACTCCTCAATAATCAAACTTTGATTTCATAGGATGGTATAACAAACCATATTGACACAAAGATCAAACACAGACACAACAAATCTATACATTTTAGGACTGTGTACACAGGCCTTCAGAGGAATTCAGGGAATGATTACCATGAGAGTGGTCAGAGTGGTTACCTCTCAAGGAGGGAAAGGGTTGGGACTGAAGAAAATGGAGAGTCAAGACCAGAACTCAGGAACATTAAGATGATAGTCAAATAGTTCTCTCAAATACAGAGCTTCAAGCACATCTAAATAAGCCTTTAAATCCAGATACAGATGACCTGGTATGGTACTGTAAGATCAGCACTTGACTGCTAATCACAAGGTTGAAAGTTCAAACCCACCAGCTGATCCTTGGAAACTCTGTATAGGGTTGCTATGAATTGGAACCTACTCGACGGCACTTAACAACAACATCTATGCTTAACACTTTGAAACACCATTACTCTTATCCCACCATCATCATCAATCACAGAAGCAAATGCAAGCTTATTAAAATGTTAAGAAAATGAAAATAGCAATAATAAAAAGAGAGTATTTACAAAAAATGTTAAGAAAATTTCTAAAAGTGAGCAATTAACTAGAAAATGAAAATTTCAATAGCTTACAAAGGGACATTTATGTATATGGGTTTTTTGAATTCCAGAATTGATGATATTCCTATCAAGATTTAACATAACAACACTTATGGGGTTACATATTCTTCTAAATACTATCTCACAAAAACTTGAAGTATGCTGACCAACACAAAATTCCATAAGAAAGTTGACAGTACCTAAGTGACTCACATGCATGTGAAATATGGACAATATATAAAGAAGACAGTAGAAGAATTGATGCATCTAAATTACGATGTTGGAGAATAATATCATAAGTACCATGGACTACCAGAATATCAAAAGTACCAGGACTACCAGAATATCAAAAGTACCAGGACTACCAGAATATCAAAAGTACCATGGACTACCAGAATATCAAAAGTACCATGGACTACCAGAATATCAAAAGTACCATGGACTACCAGAAGAACAAACAAATCTGTGTTGGAAGAAGTACAGCCAGAATGCTCTGTAGAAAGAACAATGGTGAGACACTGTCTCACGACTCTGCATATGTCATCAGGAGGGGCCAGACCCTGAAGAAGGACATCATGCTTGGTAAAGTGGACAGTCAGGAGGAAAAAGGAAGATCCCCAATGAGATGGACCGACACAGCGGAGGCAGCAATGGACTCCAATACAACAGCAGTTATGAGCATGGTACAAAACCAAGCAGGGTTTTGTTCTGTTGTGTGTAGAACCGACTTGGCACCTAACAACAACATTAATTTATAAAGTAATTTCTAATGCAGAAACAAATCATGTAATAATACACCTCTGGCATTACAAAATTACCATTTTTGTAAATTAAAGTTTTTAAATATGTATATAATATAAAGTCAAATGAGATATGAGCTCGCTAATTATAAGATAGTACAAGTCAAAGAAGAAGCTATTTAAACAATGCAAAAAAGAAGCTTCAGAAAGGACTAATGTGAAGAAACAAATTCCAGTTCCCATCCTACAAGAGCGTCTACATAATCCTCTGTGGTGGTGGTGATGTGCCGTGAACTCAGCGACTTTGTACAGGGTTTCTGAAGCTGTAAATCTTTACAGTAGAAGAAAGCCTTATCTTTCTCCTGGAAAACAGCTGGTAGTTTTGAACTGCTGACCTTGACGTTAGCAGCCCGACTCATAACCACTATGCTACGACTCCACAGCATATGACAACCACCATCCCCCCCAGAGCTCCTTACATAATCCTCAGAGTGTCAACTAATTTTTTTTTAATTCACAATTTCTTTTTTATAGTACAATAACAAATTCTAAATTCAGTACTTCATTCATCATCACTGCAGGCAATCCTTGACTCATAAATGAATGTTGTCCAAAATTTTGCCAGTAGGTTGCTTGTTAAAAATTTGAAAAACACTTTCCTTTCAAAATCTCTACTGAGTTATACCTGTTGATGTTGTTTTTAAGTGCTGTCAAACCAGTTCAGACATAAAGTGACTGTGTATAGAGTTTCTGAGGAGTGGCTAGTGGGTTTAAACCACTAACCTGACAGTTAGCAGTCCAGTGCCTACCCTACAGTGCCACACCAGCACTCCAAGTTATGCCTGGGACACCCATATAATTTATTATCAAAAGGTGTTCACTTATATTCAGCACACATGTTAATATGGATGGGACACTAGGACAAAAGGCAGAAGATGGAGCAAAAGGCACTCATCTTTCCAGTACCAAGTCAATCACCAGTCCTTCAATGGGAAGGTGAATGGGAACCAGGAAGGTCATGGGATCATAAGTAAACTCCACGACAGCCTCTAGGAACAGTAACTACCAGGCAAAATCTGATATTGCTCTTTGCACTGTAACCTTCTTCTCTGTGTACCCCTTTTCTCTGGGGCTCCAACACATGAGAATACAATGCTCTTGCCTTTGAGATGATTTTGACTCAGAGCAACCCTTCAGGACAGAGGGGAACTGCCCCAGAGGTTTCTGAGGCTGTCAATCTTTAAGCAGCAGTCACTGGGTTTGAAGGGCCAGTCTTTGGTTAGCAGCCTAACACCGAGCACTGCACTGCACCATCATGCGTCCCGCGAGAACACAGTGGCAGGTTTGTTTTTCCCTCCTCGAAAGCCAGCACCCTGTTGTGTCATTTCTGACCCATAGCGACCCTCTATAGGGTTTCCAGGGAGCAGCTGTGAGCTTAAACCACTGATCTTGTAGTTCAAATGACTTTGCAGTCCAGCACATTAGCCCACAGTGCTACACCAGGACTCCTAGCTCCCCAAAGATTCCTCAAAGAGACTGATTCTCACTGGAGAGTAATTTCGCCTCCAAGAGGACATTTGGCAACATGGAGACATGTTTTTAGTTGTCACAACCTGGATCGGGGTTGAGGGAGAAATTGAGTGCTACCAGCACCTGGTAGGTAGAGACATCCTGTACACCTGATAGCAAAAATTTATCCCATCTAATATGTCAACTGTGCTGTGGTTAAGGAACCCTACTCTAAGGGTTTATACTATTCATTGCAACAAATAATCCGACAATCAGTAGGAAAAGGCAGGCTGGGGAGTAAAGTATGAAACAAGAGGGAAATAAAACAATGACTGAGCAGAGATAAATCAGCATGGAAGGAAGGAAGGAATTTCCTATGTCTGTTCAGCTAGGCAGGCAGCTTTTCTCAATAGTTAAGGAGGCAATACGAGTAAGCATCTATAAACTGCTGTCATTGTGTTAAGCGCCATCAAGTTGGTTCTGACTCAGTTGATAGTGATCCTGTGTGGGATTTCCAAGTGGCTGGTGGGTTTGAACCACTGACTTTTGTAATTTGGCAGTCCAGTGCTTTTCTTATAGCGCCACACCAGAATGATCTCTTTATATCCAGAGTTTGAAAATAAATAAAAAAGTATGTTTACAAAAGCTGCTAGAACTGACCGTTGAGCGATAGTCTTTCAATAAAATCGGATACTGTATTATTGCTTCAAACGCTGACAGCGTGATCTTGATAAATTCTTCCGATGCCGTCAGTCCTAGGAAAACAGTTCATTATTAGCTGTGCTTATTTCCATGTTCTGAATCACAACACCACAATACTTCAAACAGAGGCATATGTCTCAGGGGATACCCACCTATGACTCCATCTATGTTAGTCTCTCCTGAGTCCACTGATTTAATATGACTCTATTAAGAAATAAAAACAAAAAGCATTTGTCACTCTTAATGGATAAGTCATGGACGTTATCAAATACTGTACATATAGCATAAAGGTGTTAAAGCACAATTAAATGCTATATACAAACCATAACTATAATCATTTAAAAATATATAGATCACTATTGATGAGATCTAACATTAGGATAAATTCAATATTAAAATGAGCAAAGAAAAGTCAACCTGAAAAAGAGAAGGTAATCTAAATGATATATACCAATTTCCAACAATACCTTACAGTTGCTCAGGCACTAACGTGGATGTTAGTGAGAACGGCCTTTGAGAAGGTGAAATAGCCCTCTTGTGATTGAGTCAAACCTTAACTACCTACCTACAGGAGATCAGATCATATGGTCTAACTTCAAATTTTACCAATACTTTTGCTGTTGTTGTTGTTAAGTGCCATCAAGTCTGTTCCGACCTCTAGCGACCC